CATGTGACGTGACGCGACGTATCACGACTTTTCCCCCATTGCTGGCAATGGAGTTTGCGCGGTTTTGGCATGATGATCTGGCCCGCAGGCTGGCAGTTTGACACCCCTGGTCTATACAGAACACTGTTAATTCCTATGAATTTGCAGTAGCAGCATCTCCTAAGTAACATGACATCATATATATGTTCTTTTTTATAGTCTTAGTTGATGAGAAAAGAAAAAGAAACCATTTTGGATGTCAGCATATGAAGTTGAGTAACTCATAGTTGCTCCCATTCTGGATACAGACATATTCATGAGAAGAACTTTTTAGAACTTTACATCTGAATTCCCTGACCAGGCACCTTTCGTGATTTGGAGATGCATTTCCCAATGTTTATTATCTCTACACATTTGGAAGTGTCACATTTGAGAGGATTATTCTATACAAGTAGTGCTTGCTTAGCAATCACAGTTGGGACCAGCAACTTGGTTGTTAAATGAAGCAGTTGCTAAATGAAACTGCAACTGTGCTTATGATCTTACTTCAGCTTTCCTTTGCTTTACAGACCTGAGAAGGTCATAAATGCAAGGATTGCAAATAATTGCTAAACAAGGCAACAGTTTAGTAAGATCTACGCAAGTATAATTGCTCACATTCTTCAAATCAAAAGAGAAAAAAACCCTATAAAATGGTATAGACAGAATGAGGAGTAAATGGGATATATATGTAATCTGGTTTTGGATATAGCTTAGCACACTATATGGGTCATATAGTTTTTGTTATTTTGATACACTGCTTGCAAGTAACATTAGTTTAAATGGACTTTGATCTGATCCTACAAGGCATAGGATGTACTCAGGTCATTTAATTATCAGGACATGGCTAACTGGTGTTAATCCTGAATTTGCACCTTAAATGAGATTTCAAGTAAAAATAATCTAATTTTGGAATCTCATCACAAATAGAATAATAACATGGTTAATATTTTTGACTGAAATTATTCCTAATAAAAGAGCTGAGAAGACCTAGATCAGTGGTTCTCAACCTTTTTAATGCCACGACCCCCAGCCGGTCGTAAGTCGAGGACTACTCAACTGCTGCAGCACCGTTTGCAGAATGGGACTTTTGGCGGGCTCAGCAGGGCAGAGACAGCCTGGACAATTCCTATTGGCTTTTGAAAGCCAATAGAATTAGACTCTATTCAAGAGAGTCTATTCTATTGGCTTTCAAAAGCCAATAGAATAAAAGGGAGTAGCACAGCTAAGGAAAAGGGGGAAAAAATGGCGGACTGCGTTGTTTGGCGACCCCCGTGAAATGGTCGTTCGACCCCAAATGGGGTCCCAACCCACAGGTTGAGAACCACTGACCTAGATCAAAGACGCCTACCAGATATCCTTGTTTGGAAGATTTGCAAAATCTTACTAGGGAGAAACACAAATTATATTGGAACAGAATATCTGTAGCTCAGTCTTGAATATAGAGTCCTCACCAAGGACTCCACAAAATGAATTATTTATTTGGGATGTGCTAAGAGCACTACCTCATAGTCTTTTAATATTTGACACCTGTTTAGAATATCCCAATCCGTGCCTTTGTCTTATCAATTAGGCTAAATGTTCATAATAATTATAACATAAGTAGCAGCTTCAGCAGCCATATGTTTTACACAGATCTCACCGCATCTTTCAGAAAGAAAGCAGAATTAGTAGTTCAAAGAGACATGGGATTATAATCATTTCCAAATCTACAATGTTTGCTATTGGGCAATATAATTACTTTCAACAGCTTTACCATATAAACACAATGTAAATATATACTAAGACTCACAAGTTTAAATCTCATTCCCTCAAGCGCCATCGGTTTTTATCTCCTTGTAATAATTATCACTGGAGACCAAACTGAATTTACTGAATTACAAATAAAAGCCTCTCTCTTTCTCTAGGCAAATTCCAGCCTAATCTAGTTCTAAAGATTAAAGCAGTTGACTATGCTTGCAACTAACCTTGTAAACAATTCAAATGGAAACAAAAGGCACTGTCAAATCTAAAACAGAGGACACTCCTATATCAAAATTCTAGTAAACTAATTCAAATACAGGGTATGGCCAGGTAGTCTACATCTATAGGAAAGTAATGATTTTATTGCCCCAAGTGTGCAGTTAACTGCATAACTCTTGGGTTTGGCTTGCATTAGGCAGCTAATCCCAAACTCACAATAATGCAATTCACACAGCACATTACAGTATAGCATTATACTGTATATACTGAACACTGATTCAAGTTGTGTATTTTTGGTCAGGTGAAGTGCATTAGTTCATACTCTATGTAGAGAAATACAATTTGGAGTGCAGGAGTGGAAGTGCCAAATTAATAGTTGTCTAAAGTCTAGCATTTTGCAAATCCATTCTACTTTGTGTGTAGTAGACCAGTTTTAAAGAACTCCAAGAATTTTATTATACAATGGTATCCAGATTCTAAACACAAAATTGTTTTGAAGTATACTTGTGTAGAATAGCAACCAAAAATAATGTCCAGGAATAATATGAATAGGATTTGGCAGAAACATACTGAGAGACAATACATGCAATATGTCTTTGAATATGATGTAGTATTTCAGAAAGATTAGCCTATAAGCAAAGACCTTCACCATTGGATTCATGGCCCTTGATACTGCAACTTATGAATCAGGGTATTAAGAATATCCTTGCTCACGGTTCCCTAATTCAGTAATTAAATTCTGAATCTGCCTTAGGCAGCCGGTTAATCCTAACTGCATTGAAGTCAGGAATATAAACTTTGCAGTTCCTATGAAGTAATGAACTCCTTATTTATTACTTAACAGATTATTATACTTAGACATCTTTACACCTGAAAAGAAATGCAAATTTAAATTTTCACTAATTACAAAATAGTCAATTCTAAAATAATGATTTTATAATCCATGGGAATTATTTCAAAAGCCAAACTGTAACTAAAACGTTACACTGTGCTAACTCTAGTATCAGCTTCCCTGACTTTCCCACCAGTTGTTCCCTTGCCTATATATTGAATTTATAATTTTTCAGCATGACAATATTTAAAATCTAATCAACATCATTCTAGCCCAGCTATAGGATAAATGGAAATTTTCAGTGAAATAAATGCTTTGGATCAGGGGTCCTCAAACTTGGCCACTTGAAGACTTGTGGACTTCAATTCCCAGAATTCCCCAGCTCTCATGGCGGGCTGGGGAATTCTGGGAATTGAAGTCCACGAGTCTTCAAGTGGCCAAGTTTGAGGATCCCTGCTTTGGATGCTTTCTGTAAAATACTAACACTTCAGTAATACTTTGTCTGAAAAGCCCAGCAGCCTATGTACTCACAGATGACCACTCAGGTGTAATGGGCACCATATATTGTGTCATGTATTGCTTTTCTAAGAGCCTGAAGCAGCATTCCCCAAACTGTGTTTTTGAATTGTGTGAGATAATTCTTTTCTAATTCTCAATTAATGTTGGCCATGAAGGACCACTATGCTTGGAATGGCTGAGGCAGATTTTTAATTGGTTTTATTCATACTGAAATTTCTAATGTGACTCTAAAGATACTTTCACAAGAAGTTTAAACCTCAATTTTATCTACTCTCTGAGGCGATTCCATCAAGTACAAACAATTTCATTCATATTTAATTCAAAATAGGATTTCCTCCATCCTCTGGTCTTGCCTTGCATTCACAACAGTCAGTTGAGAACGAAGTGAAAAACCATAATCACGCAAAATTCTTTTGCATAAATCAGTTTACTGAAGTTTGGGAACTCTGCAAGACACAGCCCTACAAGAGATCTGCACCTGGGTTAGGGCTGCTTTCTAAAGTGTAAATAACATACTTTGAAATCCAGAACCGTCTACCAATTCTGTATGGACAACCACTGGCATCATTACAAAGCTTTGACCATGAAGCAAGGGGTCACTCTGGCGATTACAAACTTGTTTTATAAAAATGTTGATAAACCAGTCCAGAGCTCATTTTTTATAAGCGACAGTAAGAAAGTCATCTAAGGCAACTGATCTGGGGCAACATTAAGCAGTTATTCAGTTCAAATTCTTTGATACTGTGATTGTAATCCAAGCCAATCCAAAAGTAAGCATTATTAAGGCCAATGGGGCTTATTCCCAGATAGATGTGTATCAGACTGCTCCTAAAGTATTTGTACACATGAAAAGATTTCTGATGAAGCCCCAGCACAAGGAGAAGGAAGACATCTCTGCAAAATCAAGACTTGGAGACAACTTCTTCCAGGTGGCAGAAATCCATACCGTTGCAAACAATTCAACTGTTACAAGACTCTTCATCACTTTCCTTGGTGCAAAAATGATCCAACTTAAGGGATGCAACTATGCCATGCAACTATGCCCCCTTGTACTAGAGCAACTGGGGCCTGAGAAGGACTTATCCAGATCGAAGAAGGAAGAACAGAATCAGAATCCTGGCTCCAACAGGATTTGGAGCGCTCCCCTTTTGTTGTCTAGAACAACAAAGAAACAAACCAGCCTACAAGGGGGAAAAGGAGGGTTTTTTGTTTTTGTTTTACCGTTTATCTCCTGTGCTAGCTACCTTTCCTTCTGCAGGACGATTCCGCGTTTGAACCTTCATCAGTAGTAGAAGAGGCGCGTGCGCGCCTGCAGGCATCGGCTCCCGCAGCCTGGAAGTAAACTATCCCGCCCAGCTGTTCATTTGCCGGCAAGGACTGATTTCTGAGACTCAAAAGCCAGCAACAGCCCAATCCGAAACCCGCGTTTACCTTTTCAGATGCAGCAGGTGTATCTCGTCCCAGCTCTGCCGCCCGCCCTTGGATGGAACAAGAGGTCGTAAGCTGCGGCTCAGCCTCTTCCACACAGCACCCAAGCGGCCGTTCGCACCTGGCACGGGCACCCCCATGGCTCTCCTCCCGCCCTCCTGGTTGGCAGCGCGTCTGAAGCAGCAGAAGCCGCCCCCCAGACAGCAAGCTGGCGCCAGAGTGTCTTGCGTTGCCCACTCACTCTGGCTAATGGCGCTGTCCCGAGGTGCGAGGGCGACTTTCCCGAGGAGAAAAGAAAGGAGCGGCGTGCGCGCAAAAGAGCGGTTTTATCCCGTTTGCCGGGTCCCCTAGCCAGCCCTTCGCTCCTTTTCCCTCTTGGCCTCAGGATTCTCCGGCCAAGCCACACTCGTAGCAGCGATCCTGGCCGAGGGAAATATAGGGACAGGCGCTGGAGAAGGCGGGGCAAATCGTGACGAGCACTTCCCCTCCCCCTCCTTCCCCAGAGTGGCCCTGGGTCAAAGAGTTTCTGTGGTCCGTTGGCTTCTGGGGATCGCAGATGTCGGAGGTGGCCCGGCTGCCCCCTCGCAGGCCCTGGAGGACATCTAGTAACTGTAGCCCTGAAGAACTTCCTCACCTATCACATACTGCAGGATTGACTTTCTCCAGCTGGCTTCCAGAGTTGGGAGGATTAGGCTGAATTGAACTGTTAAAACCCCAAGGATTATCAAAATTGTCTGCATTTCTTTGGGCTATGAGATTTTTGCAGCCCAGTTATAGATCCCTACTTGGGTGATTTTCAGCTATGGCACCTCACTCCTCCATGGGTCCAAATCTTTCTGGAAGGGAAATAGAACGGGGTAGCAAGGAAGAGAGAAAGATTCTTGCAGGAAAGAGAAAGACAACTTGCAAGAAGAATCTACCTTTAGAAATGGGAGCCAAATTTCGTACGCAACAGCAATGCCGAAGAGCAACTACTATTTTGGCCCAATAACATGCTTACACACTTCTCCAGACTATTAGACCCCCAAAATATCATCCACTGTATTGGCTGAATTTATATCTTTTTACAAAGTTGGAAGTTTCAGCAAAAAAAAAAAAAATAGCAAAGCACAAAGGAACAACATAGATTCAGAAAAAGAAATACTTAAAGAAGCAAGTTCCAATCTTCTTTGCAGCTGTTAACACAATAGCTGTTTTTGCCCTCCTAAATTACATAACATCCTTCAATCCACTTCTCAAAGGAAAAGGACAGGTGAAGGAGTCAGAGACAACACTGGCTGTTCTTTGTAGTTTTCCTGCTTTTGCCTAATTAATTGCTTCTTCACTGACTATTCCTCTTTTTCAAGTTTGCATTGTACAATCTTATTTTCTCCAGGTAGCTGGAGCAACAAAGAACAGCTATGAGCCACCGTCACAACACAGTTTACTATCTCTGTAATCTATGAATGGTAATAAACTGTTTGCTTTCTTGCAGTTAACTTGTTGAACCTAGCTCTAGGCTTGCTTAGAAACTTTAATTTATAATGTCTGTGGTTAGAAATTTAGAAACTTGCAAGTAAATAAAGTACATTGTACATGCTTGTGTGTCCTCAGGCTATTCCCATCTCCTGTGTATACTCTGGTAAGATAAATATGTAATTTATGATGGCTTGAAAGGTGGGCTCTAGATTGGTAATCTTAGCTTGCATAGAATTCTGCTTGGGATAAACATGAACTTTGACTTTGTGGGATAATAGTCAGGATCTGACCTGTATTATCAGGGGTGGTAATACAGGCTACACTGTCCCTGTCACTTTAGAAAACATGCAAGCTTTGATGATCAAAGCCACAATGAGTAGCAGAAGTTGGTATATGGGTCTATCTGATGATGACCATAGTATAGTGAAGACTGTGGCCTGAAGTATAAGAAGAAGAATAAATGATGACAAGCACAAATTAAATTAAACTGAAGAAAAAAAAAGGAAAAAGAGATAGGTTGAAGAGAACAGAACAAAAGAAAACTGGTCTGAATGCATAAACTGGAATTTTTTAATTAGATTTTTACATCACTACCATCATATGATTGTTGGCAATATAATGAAAGAATAATCAGTAATCAATATAATCAATTAAAAATTCAGCAAAACATTTAAAACAAGGTAATATAAAACAGTAATGGCATTTTTCAATGTTAAGCCCCCAAGAAAATTTTAACTTAATTTGGAATGCTAACAAGGTTGGGGCAAATCTGATTTACAGGAGACATTCCATAATGTAAGGGCCTTTAAAACTGAACTATTCGAGGCACAGTTCTTCGGGCTGTTCCTGAAAACTAGTCAGGAAGTTCAGATGGTGTAAAATTTAATGGCTCATATTTTTACAGGTAAGAGCATTTTACCAGTGTTACAATAATACTCCAAGTATTGTGGCAGATACTGTGTTGACTATCAATTTGGTGAATTTCTTTTCTCTTTTTTGCACAATGTTCATACAATATGCCAAAAGGGGAATAGCATGATGGATACACACACATGTTTAATATAACTTTTTATTACTATTTTACTTTACTCCAAGGATGAATCATTTTCTTTGGTGCATACCTGTTTTCTCCTTCTATCTAAAATCATATTAAACAACACCTGAATCATAGGAAATATAATTTATTTCTGATGTAGTAAGTCCTTGCCTGCAAAAATGCTTGGAATGAAGACTTTTGACATCATACAGCACTATCTGCATGTTGAATGCTACCGTATGTTGAAAATCTCTTAAACAAGAAACACAGAAAGTAGAGGGTTAGGCTGCAACATTTTTCTCTGATTTGTTAGGGGTTTTGCTTTTAGAAATAGTTTGTTTTTGTTTTATTTTACATGTTGAAAAGAATTCAAGATTACTATTTCCCAACTGCAAAGTTTGAAGTCATACAGCCTAGGCTTGTCTAAAACAAGCCATTTCTTAGAACTGCGTGTGTGGATGGACTCCCGATCTCCTTCCAGCCTGATAGAACAATTCTTTATAACAGGCAGCTTTATTATATGGATACTCCAGCCATAGCTCAATGGAATTAAAAGGACCCTGAGACTATTGAACTTGCTTCTGAATAAATATGCCTAAACTATGCTATGAATTTGCCTGATTGTCTGTCATCTCATCTACTCTTGCAACCCAGCCCAGGTATGCAGAACAGCTTTTTGTATTTCCTCCAATAGCTCAGTTTTGCTCCTGAAATTTAGAGTGGAATATCCTCATAGTTGGGACCTACTCTGTTTTATAAGTCATCCTATGATCTGGTTAAATACATTCATTATCTTACTGCTCAATTCACACGTATACCTATTCAGAGGTAGGATATTTAAGGTGCTGGATTAAGCTGTTGGAACAACACAAAACATCTTTGATCACAGGAATGGGGATTTCATTCGTTCATGCATTCATTCTTAACCTATACAACCTCCACAAGTGATGGCTTTTGAAAGTTATTCCTATGCTATAAGACGGGGGTGTCAAACTCAATTTCATTGAGGGCCGCATCAGCATTGCAGTTTCCCTTGGGGGGGCTGGGTGGGTGTGGGCAGGGTGGGTGCGGCCTACTGGGTGGGTGTGGATGGAGTGGGTGTGGTCTACTGGGTGGGCATGGCCAGCTCTACATCATTTGCATCAAGGGTGCCTGTGGGGGGGCTGGGCAGGAGTGGGACAGATCTGAGAGTCTCTGGCAGAAGGGGGTGGGACCAGGGCAAGTGCCAAGGCGTGGTCCACTGGAGTAGCCTCACTGTTCCTCTCAGGCCATGCGGGGGTGATGGATGGTGGTGCGGGCTGCCTGGAGCCCTGAGCAGCAGAGGTCAAACACCCAACCTGATCCTCAAGCACCCGCAGCCCCAAGGCAGCATCCAGCTGCACTTACCTCCTCAAGGCTGCTGCTGCTGTGCTTGCTCTCCTTAGCCAGGTTGCTCATGATGGGTACGAGGGCATAGTTAGAGGGAGGCCCATTCCCTCTCCATGGGAGGAGACCTGGCTTTGTATCCAAAGCTTCCTTAGCAATAGGATGGGAGACCCCCCCAGGATAGGCCAGGAGGAGGGGGCAAGGGGATGGTGAAAGGGCAGCAGGGCAGGACTAAGGCAGGACTTCCCTCAGACCCTCCTTCTCCTTCTTTCCTTCTTTCCTTCCTTCCTTCCTATGTACAGTGTGGTGGGAAAATATCTGAGATGAGGGAGGGAGAAAAACAGGCAAGAAACGCAGCTGAGGAGGTGTCACCCTTTGTGAGGAATGAAGAAATGCACCATCGTGTGGAAATGGCCAGCACATGGCCCTCACCTACTTCACATATCTGGATTGGTGGGCTCTGGGGGAGGGGATCCCATGAGCAGCATGAGAATCAACGTTACCTACGCAATGCCGCCCAGCCTCCAGCCTGCTTGGTTTCGGCAGGCAGCAGGGTGCTCTCCTCACAGCACTGAGAGGTTGAGCTGGGCGGTGGGAAGCTCGCCAGCTTTGCACCTTGCTGCCTACTGAAACTGGGCAGGTTGGGGGCTAGGCAGCATTGCACTTCTCATCAGATTCGCACCACCCAGCTCAGCTCTTGGTGCTGTGAGGAGAGTGCCCCGCTGCCTGCCGAAACCAGGCAGGCTGGGGGCTGGGCGGCATTGCACAGGTAACAATGGCAATGCTGCAATGGTTGTGTGAAAGGTGGTCATAAGTCACTTGTTTTAGTGTTGTTGTAACCCTTCCCCCAGAGCCCATCAAGCTGGATATATGAAATAGGCAAGGGCCATTTGCTGGCCACTTCCAGGCAATGGTGCATTTCTTCATTCCTCACAAAGGGTGACAGCTCCCCAGTATGCACCCAGGGGGCAGGGCCGATGAGGCAGGGGCTGGTTCCTCACTGTTTCTAGACGGCCTTGTAGAGCTAAGACTGAATGCGTTTCAGCATAGATGGCCACCACAAAATTGTACATTGACTCCCGGCCGGCCTGGGCCAGGGCCAAGGCAGCAGGGGCCGTTCCCTCACTGTTTCCAGGATGGTTTCGCGGGCCACATGAAACCACTTCGCGGGCCGCATCTGGCCCCCGGGCCTTGTGTTTGACATGTCTGCTATAAGACAAGGCTACGGGGATATGGAAAAACGTTCTAAAGGCATTTGTACAAAACTGAAAGGAACTCTCATTTGCCTGGTATATTCTAAAAAGTTAAACTACCGTTCCATTCATCCAATCAGCCAGAAACTGGCAATACCAGAAATTGTAGGTTATCATTCTTGGAACGATTGCTTTGAAAGGCATCTCTATTCATTCCCAAACTGATTTAAGTAGGTTGGAAATAGATTTCTATATCACAAAAGGGCTGAAAACAATACAATGAATGCATAAAAAGCCTTGAGTTTTTCACATAGGAAATGCCAACGTGTTGATGTAAACTGAGGAATATCTGACTTAACAACAGTACTTGTGAGACAGACTTTGGAATTATAGTTCATTATAAACTAAATGTGAATTCCCTGTATAAGATCGCTACAAAAAAAAAAGGCAAATTTAGTTTTGGATTGCATCAACCAATTTTTGCACCCAATATCACTTCCAGGTTTAGGCACCCCACTTTAGATGTATTCAGGCAACATATACAGTATTCTGTATTTATTTGTTTGTTTGTTTGTTTTTGTCATATTTATGTAGTGTATATCGGAGGTGGTGACCCTTTGAGAGCTGAATGCAACGAAATTTCATTTTAATGTATGCCGATTAGTGTACATTCAAAGTGACAATAAAGTGTTCTATTCTATTCCATTCTATTCTATGCTATGCTATGCTATGCTATGCTATGCTATGCTATGCTATGCTATGCTATGCTATTCTATTCTATTCTATTCTATTCTATTCTATTCTATTCTATTCTATTCTATCTGGGAGAAGCCATGAAGGGGACATCAAGGAGACGAAGTATATTGAAGGATCTGAATACATTTGGTCTTGAGATGAGAAGACTGGATGTGACATACTTAGAAGGATTCACACAGATGGACAAGACTTCTTTCTCAGATGGTAGAACACAAAATAATAAAGTTGTTAGGAAGCCAAATTCGGATTGAATATTATGATCAAACATCCTCAAAGTAAGAGAAAGTGTGATTACCACAAGATCTAGAGAGGCTCCATTTATTGGATATGTTAAGTCCTCAGCGAAATGGCAAATAACGCATAAAGCAGTTGCAGTTCTCAGGAGCCTCTTTATTAGTGTACAGCATGCTGGTTAAAGACGCCGACAACGCCCAAGTCCCTCTGCTCCTTTTAAAGGCGATCCCCGGGCCAAACGGCAACATTTGGCGCGCTTGCACTTCGTGCATGCGCGCGAGTGCTGGCGACAGCCAGTCTGGTCCCGGGCAGCTTGCACCTGCCCGGGACCATTGCAACGTCCTGAGCCTGCCTTCACAGGCTCAGGACATAACAGGATATGTAGAAGCAAACATTGGATAGTTATGTGTTGGGATCTTTTGACCTGAATTTCTGCAGAGAACACCATGGTCATTCCAGCTATGATCTATGGATGTGAAGCATGGCACTTACAGAAATCGGATGCAGAAAATCTTTGAATCATGCAGCATGCAGTGGGAAAATGAACACTAAAGATCTCGCTCAGCTATCAAACCAGAAATTTAACAACAGTCTAACTTCAAAAATGTCATTAA